AAAGTTGTATTAAAATTATTTTAAAAAGTTAAAAATCAGAACTTCTAAAGTTGCTTTAGAAATTAATGTAATTTTAGTCAAATATCAGATTCATTAAACCTATTCCACTTTTCAAGTTTCAGTTTCTTTAGTATTACAAATCTTTTTTCTTTTACTCTTAAATTTTAACTTGTTGAAATGCATGTTACTGAACTATTAAGTATTCTGTAAAAAATGTAAGAGTAAAATAGGCAACAACTAAAAATACCTTCTCTGCTTATTAATAATAAATTATTGTTTCATAGAAGACATGTATAGGGACAAGGAACTATTAACAGTTGTTTCCTCCGTTAAGGAAAATGTAATAGATGAGTGTCAAAAAGGAAGTGAGGGGACTTATATTCACCATTTCTTTTTACTTTAGCCCTTGAATTTTGTACCATGTCTAGATTTCTAAATTATTTTCAAAAATAAATAAAATTTTTAAATTTCAGGGTTAATATAAAAATAAAAAGGCAAAAATAAAAAATTTAGAGTACTCTAATGGCTGATTTTTACTAACACAAAGGGAATAAATAATTAGAAATTTTAAATTTATTATACTTTACAAAGATTTTAAATAAGGTAAGAAATAAGACGTTGAATTTTGAGAATTATTTTCATAGTTTAGTTTTCAAAATTATTTTAAAACCAAACATGCTATATTTTACTTTTTTTGCCTTATCTTTCTCTTCATTAAAAAAAGAGAAAGAAATTTAAAATTCTGACATGTTAAGAGGCTGAATTTTTGAAGAACATTACATAGTAACTGATCTAGATACAAGCTTTGCTTTTACTTCTTTGGCTCAAAGAGAAAATGCAATGAAGAATAAGCAAAGAAGAGGAAAGAGGCATTTAAATTCCAGGAGGACACAGAACTGTATGCCTCAAGAAGAAAAATTTTGTATGATACTTTTAAGACATGCATTGTTCATTCTTGTATTCAGCTAACATTTATTAAATTCTTGTTATGTCAAGCATCATCGTAGGCACTGAGGATACAGTAATAAACAAAATAAGAAAAATTTTGCCCATGCCAAGTTTAAAATCTAGTGGAAAAAGCATACAGTAGACAAGATAAATAAGTAAAATACATGGTATATTGATAGTAAAGTATTGAGGAAGAAAAGATGAAAGCAAGGAAGGAGTATATAAATATTAGCAGGAAGAAAAAACAACACTGAGAAGGTGACATCTGAGTAAAGTTCTAAAGAAGGGAGTGCAGGGAAAACTTTACATATATCTTAGGAAAAAGTATTGGGGGGCGGGGGACAAGCAAAAAGGCCCAAAGGCAGGGACATTCCTAACTACCCAGTGTGGTTTCAGCAGAATAAAGGGGAACATAGTAAGAAGAGTTTAAAGAATTAAGAGAGGGTCAGACCATTATATAATCTTTACACATAAAAGAATTTTGTTTTTTCTATGAGTGAGATGGAAAGCTTTGGAAGGTTTTGAGCAAAGCTGTGATGTGCCGACATGTTTTCAAGAATCCTCTAGCTGACATGTTCGCAATAGACTGAAGGGGAGCAGGTGCTAAAGCAGAGAAAAACAGTTAGGACTCTATTGCAATCACCCTGGCAAGAGAAGGTAAAGCCAGCAGGATTTGCCGATGGACCAGCTGTGTGCCGTGAGAAAAAAAGAAGTGTCAGGGATGACTCCAAGATTTTTAACCTGAGAAATTGAAAGAATGGAATAACCATTCACTGAAATGTAAAACCCTGTGGGAGGAGGAGTTTGGGGGGGAAATATTCAGAGTTCAGATTGGAGCATGTTAGGTTTGAGATGCCTATTAGACATCGCAGTAGAGATGCTGAGTAGACAGTTATGACTCAAGTTGAGGGGAAAGGTCTACAAGACTTCCTTTTTAAAAAAATTGCATGTTCTCCAAAAATTACAAAATTCATAAAATTACAGAAACATTATAATTAGAGACTTTTAGGTCATGAGGTGTTTTTTGTTGTTTTTGTTTTGTTTGGGGGGTTTTTTGTTTGTTTGTTTTTTGTTTGTTTTTTGCTAATAGGCTGGATAGGTGAAATAATTTAATGACTATTTCTTATAAATTTGCCATTATAGCATGTGTCTGTGCTTTAAAAAAAAAATGAAATAAGACTGTTTGACAAGGATAGTTTCAAACGATGTATTTTACAGCAAAGTGGGTAAAATATAACTTGGAATGCTCCTGATACCTTTATATTCTCGTCTCCTTAGTTCAAAAGATAACTTTTTTTAGTAGTATAAACTCTGCCACAAATTATTATGTCTATGTAAAAATATAATGTCTGTGTTTCCCAAAATGATGGCTGACTCTATAAATATTCTTTTATGTGACAATTTAAATAGAACTAAAGATCAACTTCACTACGTATTTTATTTTCCATTTTGCTTAACTAAATAAGGTTAAAGAGATAATATTAACTCAGAGGTTTGCATAGTTAAAGTACTGACTACCAACATAACTTTTTCAGGTTGATTTAATATTAGGCTCTGCTTCTCTTCTCATGCTCACTGTTATGCATCCAAAAGCGTGTTACTTTAAACTGAAGTAACCACAAAGATTTATTCTAAAGTTGAATAAAAGCAAGTATTTTTTGAAGTGGCTTTTCATCCTTTGAATATTTTTCTTCTGATCTGAAAGCATTCAACTTTTACATTTTAAGAACAAAGATACAAAGAACAAGGTGAAGGGAGGATGTGTTTCAATTTAAAATGTATTTTACCACATCCCCAAGTGCAGCCTCTCCAAACCTGGCTATGAAGACACAAAGACATAAGAGCTAAAATGTTACATCCCTCCCACACCCCAATTTTCTAATTCCAAAAACAAGAACTAACAGAACTAGACAAGAGGAAGAAGGTGAAATCTGTTTGTGTGTGTGTATACGTGTGTTAGCTTAGGGGGATACTAGGGAAGGGGCGCTTGAGTAATGACACTAGCAGGAACAAGTTTTGCATTGGGGAGGTATAATATTTCTTTCTCAAATTTTTATAAGGAAAGCTGTATAGATGAAAGCAGTAATGGTGCAGTGGCATGGAAAACCACTGTAAACAGTATAATATGGGTTGGGAGTTTAAACCTATCACATAGTTCAGAGTATGAAAAAAAAGTAGTGGTTGTAAGTTTATATATCATTTATTAGATAAAAGATGATAGCATCTATAAAAGCTTCCTGAAGATTAGGAATAAGATAGGAAACACATAAATTCGCCCCCATAAGTAGATATGAGAACAGAATTAAATATTCACACACAGCAACAAAGAATGAGGAAAAGGATCAAGGTTTGTCTTCATAAACCTTGATTGTGATGAGATGTGCCTTGAATAAAGATAAAAGAAAAATACAACACAGGGTTTATAATAATAGCAAAAAGAAGACAAAGATGAAAACTCTTGCAGAAAATAAATAAAAGGAACACCTTCATAAGACTCAGAGGCATAGGTATCTTCCCAAAATAATCTAATTCAGGATCCAGGAAAAAAAAAATTCAAGAAAAAAGTAAACATTCTAAAAAGTTATTCATTACTGAGTAGATACTATGTATCAGTAAATTGTTATTCATTGTTGGGTAGTTATTATGTATAGAGATATTATAAACATATGACATGTATCAGCTCATTTAATCCTATGATTCCATGACATATTTAGAAATATCTCATGCCCCTTTAGAATGAGGGCTTGCCCAAGGTCATAAATCTATTAAGAATTCAAAAAGACGTAGCTATTATGAGTAGGTGTAGAAATTTACTCATTCATTCATTCAAATAATATTTTATGGGTACTTACAAGGGACAGCTAGTACTCTAGGCACTTGGGATATATTAGTAGTGGGAGAGGAAAGAATCCTGCCCTCAAGGACTTGAATTTTTGGAGGTATAAATAATAATGTGAAAAGGTGATGAGTTCTGTAGAGGGAAAAATAGAGTAGGACATTGAAATTAGAAAATACATGGTGAGGGAATGGAAATTAATGAATAGAGTTGAATTTGAGATGGTTTTTAGTGTGTCTGAAAACCTTGGCTTGTAATAGGATATTGAATCCAATCATATTTATTTTGTTAATTGATTCATTCAGTCTTCCTTCTGTTATATGCTTTCTGTTTTTTTTAATGTTTTCTTGATGCTTCCTTCTTTCCTTAGTTTTAGAAATAACTAGACTGTTATTTCTCTGTCTAGTGTTTTGAAAAGTATTATTCTACTGATAGTTGCATTTAAGTTATGTATATCCTACATTTCTTTTCCAATCTCAGGCATAGAAAGTAAACTCTGTAAGGCAAGGTCTTATACCTGTCTTCTGTATTCTATCACTGAGCCTAACACAAAAGTAGGAGTATTAAAATATATTCATTCTATGAATGAATAAATTACTAGTAGGTACATGATCACAATTCTGCTCTAGAGCCAAAGACAGACTCTGAAGGAGGAAATAGAAAATAGAAAGTGAATGCAGAGAAAAATGGGAAAGAATGCTTTGGAGGAGAATGCCTCTATCCTGAAACTGACATAACTTTGTGATCTTGAAAACTTTACCCATCTTCTTTGCATCTCTATTTTTTTCACTTGAAAAATAGGGAAAGTGGATTAGAACAGTGATTCATCATTTTAAGAGTCACGGATCCTTTTGAGAACCATCTAAAGACTATCAATCTTCTCCACAAAAGCATTTTATATATACATACATTATGAAAAATAATAAATTGACATGTTTTTAAGATCACAGAAAACTTTAATGCATATATTGTTAATACAATACAGTGACTTTAAAGGTCATGTCCTATAACATGAAGACATTAATAAGACATTGCATCATGTTTTAAAGTAACTAGATAATTCACACATGCACAACCTTTTCATATAATGAAGAAAGCTCAAAACCCCCAAACTGGAAGAGAGCATTTATCTAAAGAAAGAAACAAAAGATTAATAGGTATAAAATGTTTTGAAATATTAAAGTCCAATATCTTCTTTTAAGTCTCTCGTTGACATTTATTTGAGGTAGGGATGAAGTTGTTTAAGCTTAGCTTTTCTTGACAAACCAATTCTGATTGGTCGGCTGCATGTCTTAAGAGGTAGTACTCTTGAAATTCCATGTGAAAAATTACTACCTAAAAATATAAGATAATAAAAGTACATAAGAGAGTAAAAATTACTCATAGTTTCTAAGTTTAAAAAGTTTTTGCTAACTTCTAATCATACTAACAACATTTACTGAGTCATTGAGCTAAAGGCTTTGAATGGATTAGTTTATTTAATCCTATCTCCATTTTTAAAATGTGGAAACCTCAGCACAAAAGTTAAGTAACTTGCCCAATATAACACTGCAACTAAAAATCAGCACTTCAGTCAGGCAATCTGACTTAACAACAACAACAACGACATTATATAAGTTTTAAAGTTAATACAATACAGTGACTTTAAAGGCTATGTCCTTTTTCTATTAGAAGCTAAACACTAGATTATATTGTTAATGATTATGTTTGGCTACTAATAGAGATTATTATCAATAATAGAGCAGACATGTATTTGTCTGTTATGTATCAGTGGAGGGCTCTGATTTTTGTAGTTTTTATTTAACATCGCATTATCATTTTCAAAGCAGTTTAAAACATTTCATGGAGTTATATCTCTACTAAATCAGTTAACCAAATTGGATCAACTACACTTGATATTGAAATACAAAAATACCTCTAACTTTTAGAGTGCTTTTTAAAAAAATAAACAGTGGGGTACAAATGTAAAGCTAAAAATATATCAAGCTTCATCAAGCTTTAATGAATTAGTATAACCTTAGTAGAAAAGCATACTATACTAAAAAAAAGTGTAATCAACCTAACCTTAAATCTGACAAAAGGTAAAACAGCATAATTTCTACCAAACATGTGTTATGCATCTATGTAAACAACAATGAAATAAAATACAAAATTTAACTGGATGTAAATAGTGAGAAAACAACATTAAACAACATAAAGTAGCTATAAATCAGTTTGTGATACTTTATTCAACATTAAAATTATAGTTACTTATGAAAATAAAGGGAAATTTTTATTGCTTGACTTTTTTCCATTTTTTAAACAAAAAGGGATTGTCCAGATAAAACAAAATTGTTGGATCATGTCTGATACCTAGATTTGGTTATAAATTAGATACCCACCAATTTATGCTAAGTGTGCTTCATTACGAGATTATTATTTCAGAACAAAACTATGATTAGTCTATTTGATTACTTTTTTCAAAGTGTAGCTTTCTTCTTTCATACTCTAATATGACAGATACTTCTGGTAATTTTGCAATGGGTGGGAAATCACTGAACCAATTTGTATCAACAGCAGGCCTTTTGCAAAGCATATACCCTTAAACACTCATTAAGTGTTGGTTTTGAGGATGTGCTTTTTTGTCACCTCGGATTTCCTATTTTTTATTAAATAAAATATTTTATTATCACTATACAGCAAATTAATGTATCATTTTGTATTTTTTAAAACTCTAAATATTCAAGCATACTACCAGAAATTGTTCATTTTAAATATTAGTGTTTTAAAAAGTCATGAACCTTATTAGTCATCTTTTAGAAATAATACTAACACAATTGTTTTCTAAATCCTTGCAATTCAAAGCGTAGTCCACAGGCTAGCAGTGTCTGCATTTGCTAGGAGCTTGTTAAGAATGCAGAATCTTAGGGCCTGTCCCACAATAGAATCAGAATCGTTTAACAAGACATCCAGGTCATTTATGTATTCTTTAAAGTCAGGGAAGAATTAACGCTAAATGTTATATAGTACACCTGGCACACTGGCTGGCTGGCATATAACACATGCTCAAAATAATTTCAAAACACTTGCCTTCTCCACACCACAGAGGGAGGAGAGACAAAGAGTGACAGGATGTACCGGAGACATAAGTGTAGAAACTTTAATTGGAGGCATCATGATGACAAGTGGGTGAGTATCAAAGACATTTAGCACAATGAGGAGTTTTCAATGCTTTTAAAATCATACTAGATAAACAAGTACTCAGTGCTAGGTAGGTAGTCCATTTTTATCCCCACTTCCCAATATCTCTCAACTTTTTCTTTACACCATGGATTTTAACAAGCCTTAGTAAGATTATCCCATTTTTATGTACTTTGAAAGTGAATCCAAGACAATATATTAACATAATGTTAAATAATTCTGGCTGACCTCACACATTATTCTTCATATTTTATGACACTAAGGTACTTTTCTTTGTGAAAGTACAATACAGTATTATGGGTTCAGATATTTCCAACAAATGCAACGTTTCTTTTCCAATTTGTGCACATAATTTAATCTTCCTTATATATTCATTTCCTATCACAATTATAATCATGATGACAAATATGGGTGCATGTTCCCTAATCTTTCTCCATTCTATCTCAAAACAAATCCAATTTTTTCCTTTCTTTCTGTTCTAGAAAAAACAACTCCTATCCTTTCCAGGTTAATTCTGCCACCTTGCTTTTAGTCTCATACAGTATTGTGTTCCCTCAATTATTCTCTTTATCCAGGGGAGAAGAGAATACCTGTGTGCTTTTGATCTTCCAGGACTCGGATTAATTTTAAGATTATTTCATTGTAAGATAAGAAAAGAAGAAACACAGTTCTACTGATGAGAAGAGAGAAAAAAATGTTTTAAGAAATGATGTATGAAGATGTTTTGTAAATATATTTCTCCTACATCATTATTCTTTCTAGATCTAGTCTTGTTGTACAGTATCATCTATTTCTGACCAAACAAAGATTTAATCATTTAGAAAACAGTTCACTAGGGTCTATCCTACCCACTCCCTCATCCCCATTGGTACTGTAAGTTAGAATAGATGTTAGACTTGGCATATTTTATGCTGGTATTGTGGATCTCTTAGGCAAATGATGAGGTTAGTTGTTTAACTATTCTTCAGTTTTATTTATTTAAAAGTAATTAAAAGTTTAAATGCCATAGTCATAAGCTATGTTAATATATCTAAATGATACTAAATTTTTTAAATTACTAAATGTCCATATAAAGAGCCTCATAATAGTTAAAAGATAGAGAACACTGATAATAATAAAACAATTAGAAGTAACATCTCATCAGTAGAAATCCAACTTAGATAAATGCCTTTTTTGATTCGGCCAATTTTTCTATATAAATTAGATGTGTGTATTAGACATGTATCATACCTATCTCATCACATAGTTATTGTAATTCATACTTGCAAATATTTAAACACAGTTTTGAAGAGCATATTTCCAAATAATACTCTAAATCTAATATTCTAAAATGGCATTTTAATTTTTAGCCAATTTTTAACTATTAGAATTTGCATCAGTAAATTATTGTTTACAAAGTAGTAAATCTTTGTATTTATTTCCTAATAACCTAAATATATATTCTGCATGCTAAATATACAAGAATGCAATAATCATCTTAGAAGTTGTTCTAGAAAATAACTGAAAATCTTACCTCTCTTCAGTAAATAATTAAATTTTTCTTCCTTAAATTCATCAGAGCAAAAAGCAGGTCTTTTAGGTGAAGGTTTCTCGCAATCTGAAAATAAATCAATACATTATAGCAAAAAGTAACTTTTATGTAAAAGGTTAATACTGTAAACAAATTATTTTCAGAAATATCTTCTTCCATTGACTCCTAAAATTTAGATAAATGAAGCTCCTTTTAAAAATAAAAATTTTATCTTTTGTTACCTTTGACTTCAGTATATTATTTAATGTTTGAACAGCCCTTTATAGGAAAACAATGTGCACCAATAAACATTGCATTATATTTTATTTCATTTTTTGCCAAAATTATACATTTGGCCTGTACAGGAAAAAGAAAGTAAAACATTTTTTTCTATCAAAAGGAAAAAGACTTTAAAACAAGTTTTATACCTTCCTCAGAAATAGAATAGAGTAATTCTTCCTCTGATGTTCTTGGACAGCAATATTCATTAGGAACTTCCTGTTCTCTGTTTTTGGGTACTGTTGTCCATTTAAATAAACTTTGGTGCCTTTTATGCATGTTAGGATCTGATATAGTATTATGGAGCAAAGAAGAGGCACATATTTTGTTGACTGTACCCATTTTCAAATCTTTTTTTATCTCCATTTTTACCTCCTCAACATCATTACTGTCTCCAAAGTAATTTCCTTGCCCATTGTTTGTTTCCACAGTGCTTAGAATTTCATTTTTCTTACTAATTTCATGAAACATACGAAGTTCTTCAAGTACTAAATCAAATTTACTCTTCATCTCAAAATCTTTGGTTATTGTCAGATTTTCTGTTGATAAACATTTGGCAGCTAACTTCTGAAAACATTCATTGTTCCCT